ACCTATCTATCTACCTATCTATCTATCCATCCATCTATCTACCTATCTATCTGCCTATCTATCTCTCCATCCATCTATCTATCTCTCCATTCATCTATCTATCTATCTATCTATCTATCTCTCCATCTAACTCACCCGTCTCTCCTGCTGTCTTGTGTTTCCCGTAAGGTTTGTACAGGATGTAGGAGCAGCCGCGCACTCGGAAATGATCATTAATCTGTCTGAACCACCTGCAGGAAAACATCATTACTGAGCTGCAGACATCACCTCCATAAAAACAAGTTATTATTTAAAAAATGCACATTAAACATGCGTGAAATGTTCAGTGTTAAGGAGCTTTCTGAGTACTTCAATAGATCATATTCACAATATAATAAAAACTTGAACAAGTTAGTTTTGTGGGAGTTTTACATAAACATTTTTGCACAACTATTTTAATTAACCATGTCAAGAACTAGGTCAGAATAATATTTTTTTCAGAATGGCAAACACCTGAAAACAGTGTTAATAGGAACTTCATCAAATTCAAAAATGTTGTGATATTTTGAAAAACAACAAAATAAAAAACGTTTTTTGCTCTGGTCGTACATTTTGTTATAGTATTACTATTAAGTTGTTAACATGGCTAATGAAAATGAATATTCCTATTGACGTGCAGCTGTGCAGACGTTCTTAAAACACCGCTATGATGTACCATATGCAGCTATGCCCTTTAATACGTTATATTTATTGCTTTTCTAAAGTTTTAAAGTAGGTGTTTCTCCCCAACTGAGCCTCGTACCTCATTAGCGTGGCGTTTCCAGTGAAAGGACCGAACTTGATTTCTTCAAAAGGCGGCTGGAAACCCAGGATATGCAGAGCCTCCTCCTGAGAGAGGGGGGGTAAACTGGCAAAGCAAATAACAAAAATAAATGTTATTGTTGGAGCAGATGTGGGTTTTTTAGGTGAAGTGTGAGAGACGTTACTCACCTTCCTGCCCCCAGAGTGCTGTACAGGAAGTTCCAGACGGAAATGAGAGAGGAGATGCCGCAGGAAGTCTTGTACTGAGGCCGGCTGATGCAATACCTGCAAATCAGACACACGATAAACAATAATAGGTTCATGTTTTATATTTTTAACACACATTTGTAGATACTGTATATACAACAGAGGTCAACTTTTCCTGCTTTGACACAATGAATAAATAGATTTTTTGTTAAACTCCTCAACCAAACCTCTGTGTATTAAAACTACAATTTTCACAAAGGACCTGACATGGACTCTTCACTGAGGACCTGACATGGACTCATCACTGAGGACCTGACATGGACTCTTCACTGAGGACCTGACATGGTCTCATCACTGAGGACCTGACATGGACTCTTCACTGAGGACCTGACATGGTCTCATCACTGAGGACCTGACATGGACTCATCACTGAGGACCTGACATGGTCTCTTCACTGAGGACCTGACATGGTCTCATCACTGAGGACCTGACATGGACTCTTCACTGAGGACCTGACATGGTCTCATCACTGAGGACCTGACATGGACTCTTCACTGAGGACCTGACATGGTCTCTTCACTGAGGACCTGACATGGTCTCTTCACTGAGGACCTGACATGGTCTCTTCACTGAGGACCTGACATGGACTCATCACTGAGGACCTGACATGGTCTCTTCACTGAGGACCTGACATGGTCTCTTCACTGAGGACCTGACATGGACTCATCACTGAGGACCTGACATGGACTCTTCACTGAGGACCTGACATGGTCTCATCACTGAGGACCTGACATGGACTCTTCACTGAGGACCTGACATGGTCTCTTCACTGAGGACCTGACATGGTCTCTTCACTGAGGACCTGACATGGACTCATCACTGAGGACCTGACATGGACTCATCACTGAGGACCTGACATGGACTCATCACTGAGGACCTGACATGGACTCATCACTGAGGACCTGACATGGACTCTTCACTGAGGACCTGACATGGACTCATCACTGAGGACCTGACATGGACTCATCACTGAGGACCTGACATGGACTCATCCCTGAGGACCTGACATGGTCTCATCCCTGAGGACCTGACATGGTCTCATCACTGAGGACCTGACATGGTCTCATCCCTGAGGACCTGACATGGTCTCTTCACTGAGGACCTGACATGGACTCATCACTGAGGACCTGACATGGACTCTTCACTGAGGACCTGACATGGTCTCTTCACTGAGGACCTGACATGGACTCATCACTGAGGACCTGACATGGACTCTTCACTGAGGACCTGACATGGACTCATCGCTGAGGACCTGACATGGACTCATCGCTGATGACCTGACATGGACTCTTCACTGAGGACCTGACATGGTCTCTTCACTGAGGACCTGACATGGACTCATCACTGAGGACCTGACATGGACTCTTCACTGAGGACCTGACATGGACTCTTCACTGAGGACCTGACATGGACTCATCGCTGAGGACCTGACATGGACTCATCGCTGATGACCTGACATGGACTCTTCACTGAGGACCTGACATGGTCTCATCCCTGAGGACCTGTCATGGACTCTTCACTGAGGACCTGACATGGACTCTTCACTGAGGACCTGATATGGACTCTTCACTGAGGACCTGACATGGACTCTTCACACCACCACCATCACCAAAAAAGCTTGACAGCGGCTCTTCTTCCTCCACAGGCTGAGGAGGTTCAACATGGACTCCAGGATACTCTGCAACTTCTACAGGTGCACCATAGAGAGGATCCTGACCTTCTACAGGTGCTCCATAGAGAGGATCCTGACCTTCTACAGGTGCACCATAGAGAGCATCCTGACCTTCTACAGGTGCACCATAGAGAGGATCCTGACCTTCTACAGGTGCTCCATAGAGAGGATCCTGACCTTCTACAGGTGCTCCATAGAGAGCATCCTGACCTTCTACAGGTGCACCATAGAGAGCATCCTGAACTTCTACAGGTGCACCATAGAGAGCATCCTGACCTTCTACAGGTGCTCCATAGAGAGCATCCTGACCTTCTACAGGTGCTCCATAGAGAGCATCCTGACCTTCTACAGGTGCTCCATAGAGAGCATCCTGACCTTCTACATGTGCACCATAGAGAGCATCCTGACCTTCTACAGGTGCTCCATAGAGAGCATCCTGACCTTCTACAGGTGCTCCATAGAGAGCATCCTGACCTTCTACAGGTGCACCATAGAGAGCATCCTGACCTTCTACAGGTGCTCCATAGAGAGCATCCTGACCTTCTACATGTGCACCATAGAGAGCATCCTGACCTTCTACAGGTGCTCCATAGAGAGCATCCTGACCTTCTACAGGTGCACCATAGAGAGGATCCTGACCTTCTACAGGTGCACCATAGAGAGGATCCTGACCTTCTACAGGTGCTCCATAGAGAGCATCCTGACCTTCTACAGGTGCACCATAGAGAGCATCCTGACCTTCTACAGGTGCTCCATAGAGAGCATCCTGACCTTCTACATGTGCACCATAGAGAGCATCCTGACCTTCTACAGGTGCTCCATAGAGAGCATCCTGACCTTCTACAGGTGCTCCATAGAGAGCATCCTGACCTTCTACAGGTGCACCATAGAGAGCATCCTGACCTTCTACAGGTGCTCCATAGAGAGCATCCTGACCTTCTACATGTGCACCATAGAGAGCATCCTGACCTTCTACAGGTGCACCATAGAGAGCATCCTGACCTTCTACATGTGCACCATAGAGAGCATCCTGACCTTCTACAGGTGCTCCATAGAGAGCATCCTGACCTTCTACAGGTGCACCATAGAGAGGATCCTGACCTTCTACAGGTGCTCCATAGAGAGCATCCTGACCTTCTACAGGTGCTCCATAGAGAGCATCCTGACCTTCTACAGGTGCACCATAGAGAGCATCCTGACCTTCTACAGGTGCACCATAGAGAGGATCCTGACCTTCTACAGGTGCTCCATAGAGAGCATCCTGACCTTCTACAGGTGCACCATAGAGAGGATCCTGACCTTCTACAGATGCATCATAGAGAGCATCCTGACCTTCTACAGGTGCTCCATAGACGGATCCTGACCTTCTACAGGTGCACCATAGAGAGGATCCTGACCTTCTACAGGTGCTCCATAGACGGATCCTGACCTTCTACAGGTGCACCATAGAGAGGATCCTGACCTTCTACAGGTGCTCCATAGAGAGCATCCTGACCTTCTGCAGGTGCTCCATAGAGAGCATCCTGAACTTCTACAGGTGCTCCATAGAGAGCATCCTGACCTTCTACAGGTGCTCCATAGAGAGCATCCTGACCTTCTGCAGGTGCTCCATAGAGAGCATCCTGACCTTCTGCAGGTGCTCCATAGAGAGCATCCTGACCTTCTACAGGTGCTCCATAGAGAGCATCCTGACCTTCTACATGTGCTCCATAGAGAGGATCCTGACCTTCTACAGGTGCTCCATAGACGGATCCTGACCTTCTACAGGTGCACCATAGAGAGGATCCTGACCTTCTACAGGTGCTCCATAGAGAGGATCCTGACCTTCTACATGTGCTCCATAGAGAGGATCCTGACCTTCTACAGGTGCACCATAGACGGATCCTGACCTTCTACAGGTGCACCATAGAGAGGATCCTGACCTTCTACAGGTGCTCCATAGAGAGGATCCTGACCTTCTACATGTGCTCCATAGAGAGGATCCTGACCTTCTACAGGTGCACCATAGAGAGGATCCTGACTGGCTGCATCACGGCCTGGTACGGCAGCTGCTCCGCCCTCAATCGTAAGGCTTTACAGAGGGTGGTGAAAACTGCACAGAACATCACCAGGACGGAGCTGCCATCCATGGAGGACCTTTACTCCCAGCGGCTCAGGAAGAAAGCCCTCAGCATTATAAAAGACCCCCCATCACCCCAGCCACACACTGTTCAGTCTGCTGCCGTCTAAAGCATCCGGACTAAAACCACCAGACTCAGAGACAGTTTCATCTCACAGGCAGTAAGACTGTTAAACACCTGAACTGCTGAAACAACATCCACAACATTCATCTGCTACTTAAAACATATTCATCGATTTACCTAATATATCATATTTCAATGACTTGCATATAGACTCTTATTGCACTATTTTTCTTCTTGTATTTACTTGCACTATATTTGTCTGTGTATCTGTGTTTTGTGTTGCTCTGTTGGAGAAGCTTGTGACACAAGACTTTCATCGACATAACTACACTGTAGCTTTGTTCGTTTGACAAATAAAGAACCTTGAAAGTTGATCCTGAGACGTGTCTTGGTTGCATGTTTTTGCAGCCTCTCTTAAAGCCTGATGTAAATTATTATAAGTTTACCATCTCCTGAGGTCGAGCACTTTCCTCTGCTTGATGTCCTCCTGCGAAGCGTGAGGAGCGACGTCCTGCAGGTTCCTGCTCTGTCTGTCTGAGGACTTCATCTTCTTTGAGCTGATCTTCTTCACGTTACCTGAACAATAGTTAAAGGAGGCTCAATCAATGTTCAACCGTTAAAGAACAGACACATTATTTAATATCCTGATACCTCGAGCAGGTGAGACATCTTTAGTTGATGGCAAAATTGTAAAAATAATGCACAAAATAAATGATATATAAATATAATTTTCTATTTTTCAGTCAGTTCTGAATATAACTACAACCTTCTGATACCTCATTCACACCAACGGTGTTTCGGGCCGGTTCGGAGCTGGAGCTTGAAAAGCACCGGGTTTTCCTGTTCACACCGCAGCGGAGCAGCCTCTTAGCTCCGGAATCCGGTTCATTTCGAGCACCAAAAAATTGTCCGGCCAGAGCAAAAGCACCGCATACGTCACGCTTACGTCGAGGCGGGGGCAGGGGCGGGATCAACTCCTGAACAACAACAAGAAGCCCGCGTTTTATCCAGTTTGTACACAACGATGGAGAAACTTAACAAGCAGCAGTGGTCCACTGGAGAGACCAGCTACCTACTGGGAATCTGGTCTTCTGAAGAGGTACAGAGGAAGCTGGAGCACAATCGGCCATTGTTGTTGTTGTCGGTGTCAGCTGTGAGGGGTTTCCGCGCGGTTTGGCTTTATGAAGCAGGCACGCAAACGGTTACGTCATGACGCAAACGATGACGCAAACGATGACGCAATGACGCAGCACCAGTCGGACTCTGGGCGGTGTGAAAAGAGCCGGAGCTAAACCGAAGAACCGGTTCTGAACCTGAAAAGCTCTAGCACGGAGCTTGAACCGGAGTTGCGTTGGTGTGAATGAGGTATTAGTGTCTAATCTAAACGTCATGTAGTTCCTTTGAACCCTTACTAAAGTTGTTTTACTTCTGCCAGTTGCATTGACGCCTTAAATATCATTAAGTGTGGTGTTGATATGTGGAGATTATCCCGCTAAACAGAATGTGAAAGTCTCGTAAACCTTTGATTGCCACAGATCTTATTTTGTGCGATATAAAATCCCATTAGCTTTTTCCGAGGGAACCAGGAAGAGGCCAACTTCAAAGTCAACCTCCAAAAACACACTCTTTAACAACACGCTTCTTACTTGTTCGTATTTTTCTAGTGAGCACAGCATTGAAGTCCGTGGTGTCTATCTCCCAGGCCAGGATAGGTTTGGACAACACTTCCACCATGTCTCCGTCTCCATCGGACCCCGCAGCATCCGAGGGGCCAGCGCTGAACTCCTCCTCAGGTTTGGGCTTCCCGTCCTGCAGGTTGGAGTTGGAGACGTTGCAGGTGTTGGAGATGTTGGAGGTGTTGGAGGTGTTGGGGTTGTTGGAGGTGTTGGAGGTGTTGGAGGTGTTGGGGTTGTTGGAGGTGTTGGGGGTGTTGGAGGTGTTGGGGTTGTTGGAGATGTTGGAGATGTTGGGGTTGTTGGAGACGTTGGAGGTGTTGGAGATGTTGGAGATGTTGGGGTTGTTGGAGACGTTGGAGACGTTGGAGGTGTTGGAGGTGTTGGAGATGTTGGGGTTGTTGGGGTTGTTGGAGACGTTGGAGGTGTTGGGGTTGTTGGAGACGTTGGGGTTGTTGGAGACGTTGGAGGTGTTGGAGGTGTTGGGGGTGTTGGAGGTGTTGGGGTTGTTGGAGATGTTGGAGATGTTGGGGTTGTTGGAGACGTTGGGGTTGTTGGAGACGTTGGAGGTGTTGGAGGTGTTGGAGGTGTTGGGGGTGTTGGAGACGTTGGAGGTGTTGGAGATGTTGGAGATGTTGGGGTTGTTGGAGACGTTGGGGTTGTTGGAGACGTTGGAGACGTTGGAGGTGTTGGCGGTATTGGAGGTGTTGGAGGTGTTGGAGATGTCCGCAGGCCGGTACACGGACGGCGCCTGGTTCAGCAGAGCGTAGTCGGAGCACACGGTGTAGAACTTCTCCCTGGAGTGAGTGACGGGGCAGGTCCAGTGGATTTCGGCGCTAGAGGCTCTCCGAACTCTCGCAGCTTCCCTTGCCATCATCAGGCTGCGGTTCTCCTCGTCCTCTGTGTCCAGGGGCCTCTGACGCACAGAGGGGGGGTCCGAAGGCCCGGGGAGGTTTGACCCCTGACCTTCTGGGGCGTTAGGCATCGAAACGCCACGGGTGATTGGTGATGGAGAAGGGATGGATGGGTTTTCTGGGGATGAGAAGATAAGGTGTTGTTAGAAACACGAAGGAAGATAATAGTAATAATACAAAATAACAATATAAAGAGTAGATAGAGACTAAATAATGAGTAGTAAAGGAACATAACATGATCATAACAACTACAGATGCAAAGAGAACCAAAAACTATGAAAAGTAGCAAAATAGCCATGGACAAAAGAACTACAAAAATACCCGAATTGACCCCAAAGATAAACAAATGACAACCAAGAGACACAAAATGACTACCGAGAGACACACAATTAAAACAAGACATACAATGACCACAAATTGACATAAAAATAAACAACAAATAGAGGCTTATAGTCAGTGTATCTTGCTTCTAAGTAAAGCATTTTGCATGTCTCATATTCTGCCCATGCAACAACAAAAAGAATAGTAAAAATAACGGTGTTGTTGGGTCATAACACCAAATTAAATCAATGTTTCTTTACTGTCTAATAAAGAACATAGTATTTCTAATTTGATTCAGAAGCACATCTTGTATTTGCCCAAATAAAGCAGCATGCAATAACCCACAGCCACATTACACAGCATCCTCAAACATAACCTTTAACCTCTGATAACTATCATTCATCCTCCTGCAGATAGACAGTAACTCACCTGAGCATTAACACAAACAGCTGTACTGTAAACACGCCCAGCTGCTATTTCATCACTATCTATCCTCACATCTCCTCTTGTTTTAGGCACAAACTGAGGTTTAAATCTTTAACATGTCACCCACACATCCTTAACTACTGGTGCACATTAGCTTAACACAAGATAAACACGAAACGATCATAACAAATCCGACACGGCCTCCATGCTGAGACAAAACCTCTGCTTCCGGTGCAGCTTTACAGGACTGAACCATTCTGAGAGGACACAGGGGTGTTCAGAAATAGTTAAAGATGGATAACAACGTTTTAAAAAAGTAAGATATGTAGTCATACACAATCGGAACTGTAGTAACTTTCTGATTGGTGTGTATTATTCTATAACAAGAAATATATTTTAAATATCCATGTTGTCATTTTTATGAATGCTGGCTACATCTCGTGTTAGTGAAACATGTAATGATCCAACAGTTTAAACCAATCACAGGAGCGCTTTTCAGTGTCTCTGTAAACCTCATTTTACAGACTGAAGGTAAGTCTGAAACATCTTTTTAAAAGACAATACTTTTACAATAACTTATTTTACTTTTGTAATACTAAGTCGCATGCCAGCTTTACTAGAACACACACTTCCTGACTACTTGGTAAATGAAAATGTGGTTTGTGTATTAATCCAGTTGTCTATAGTTTATAACTGGGTGTGAAAACAACGAAAAGAAGTTACACAAATCTGCACAGATGTTTGTATGAATGCACTGAAGGAAGTTGTTAGTTATAGAAGACATATCTCACTATAATATGTATGTATGCATGTTTTCAAAGCTTTTACCACCTGTAGTGTTAAGGAGAGAAGTTACAGATAATGAGTGTAAAACGAATTACTAATAGATATCACCATAACACTTCCCAAGTGATTACTGACATCAACACAATTGTTTTTTGTATTACAAGTGTTCTGAAATCATATGTGTTGTATGCTTTTTCTTATTAAATATGCCCTGGTTTGCAGACATTTCCTGAGCAGAAATGTCAACTTTGGATAGAGCCACGCCCCAAATTCAGTTTTAAGAACGTGTTTTTTAGCAACAAAACTCTCTATAACTCAGGCTGTAAAAGCTGTGTGAACAAAGCCCTGTGTGATTAGCATAAGAATATAAATAGGAATTAGACTGGAAAGTTTGGTGTGTGTAAGTGCTCCCAAAGTGAGAGAAATTCACAGATTGTGTACACACTACAGGTGAATAGGTAACACATGTAACTACTAGATATCCCAATGAAAGTTACAATTACTTTTTGTATTACATTTGTTTGCTATCTTATTATTAGCAATCAAAAGAAACTCATAATCTTTTATTACCGTGTTGCAGTCGTCTGAACTGCTAATACGTTACTTATAAGAGCTTACAGGGTCCAGTGCCCCTGTAACACTGACCTTTGACCCCCTGTGGCCCCCCTCCAAAAGAAGAGTATATGAAAACATTTTTTTTTTGTAATAGTAATTAGAAGATCAAGATTATCCTGTATTAATCCCCCTAAGAGGAAATTCAGTTTTCCCCTTGTATCCACGTTTATACATATTTGAATACACACACAGCACACAAGCATATGTGTTTTTCAATACACACACAGTACAAATACACACAAGTAAACACACTGCATTAAGAGAGGTGCCAGACAGGGTTCTTACGGTCATTAAAAACCTGGAAAAGTCATGGAAATTCAAAATGCTAATTCCAGGCCCTGGAAAACAATATTTTTCCCAAAGTTTTGGAAAAGTCATGGAAATGTAACCAAAGTTGCATCAAATATAATTTATATTTTATCTAATCGCCGAAATAGTAATACTATAATGATAATAAATACTGTATGGTATAGTAATGAAACGTAAAATGGCTTTTAACTGACGAGGTGTTTTGCTGGTGAGAGATTTCAGTAGAAGCTAGTAAGCCTATTTGATTTGTTTTAGATAGGCAACATGTTTCAGATGCAGACCTTATTTTCCTGTTCCATGTTAAAATAAACCATTTTCAGTGGAACCGCTGAGAAAGAGTCATTTTTTTGGTCATGGAAAATGAGGTAAAGGTCATGGAGAAGTCATTGGTGAAAAAGTGTATGAACCCTGGCCAGAGCAGATAGGCTGCCAGTCTGACCAGCGCCAGGACGTGGACCGGCTCCTCTCCAGCTACCGGAACACACTCAGCGACCATTTGGTTCCGGTCCCTACAGACTGAGCCACTGCCGCTTCTGTAATGACATTTTAACTAAGATACACAAACTTTGTAACTGAAACAAATACCAATCATGTTTTTCTTTATTTTGTGCGCTATGGCTTTATACCCAACAAAACATTGAAATCTTCAACACTGTCTTTGTCTCTTTTGTCCCCCAAATGCCCCCCCTGATCCAATCTAGTACCGCCAATGCTGTGATTTAATCAGATGTATTGTGTTTGTTTCCAGGACACCATGGCGGACAGGAAGCAGGTGATCATCGACACGGACTGTGGGATCGACGATGCTCAGGCCGTCATGATGGCGCTCGCCGCTCCGAACATCGACGTCCTGGCGCTCACCTGCGTGTTCGGGAACGCTGCCGTGAATCACGTGTGTCAAAACGTCCTGATGGTGCTCGACGTCTGCCAGCGCCAGGGGGTGAGTTCACTCAGATAAACCATTTAAGGGTCACCTATTATGCAAAATCCCCTTGTTCATGTCTCTTCTACATCAACATGTGTCCCCTCTTCCTCATGTCTCTTCTACATCAACATGTGTCCCCTCTTCTTCATGTCTCTTCTACATCAACACGTGTCCCCTCTTCTTCATGTCTCTTCTACATCAACATGTGTCCCCTCTTCTTCATGTCTCTTCTACATCAACATGTGTCCCCTCTTCCTCATGTCTCTTCTACATCAACATGTGTCCCCTCTTCTTCATGTCTCTTCTACATCAACATGTGTCCCCTATTCTTCATGTCTCTTCTACATCAACATGTGTCCCCTCTTCTTCATGTCTCTTCTACATCAACATGTGTCCCCTCTTCTTCATGTCTCTTCTACATCAACATGTGTCCCCTCTTCTTCATGTCTCTTCTACATCAACGTGTGTCCCCTCTTCTTCATGTCTCTTCTACATCAACATGTGTCCCCCTATTCTTCATGTCTCTTCTACATCAACATGTGTCCCCTCTTCTTCATGTCTCTTCTACATCAACATGTGTCCCCTCTTCTTCATGTCTCTTCTTCATCAACATGTGTCCCCTCTTCTTCATGTCTCTTCTTCATCAACATGTGTCCCCTCTTCTTCATGTCTCTTCTTCATCAACATGTGTCCCCTCTTCTTCATGTCTCTTCTACATCAACATGTGTCCCCTCTTCTTCATGTCTCTTCTACATCAACATGTGTCCCCTCTTCTTCATGTCTCTTCTTCATCAACATGTGTCCCCTCTTCTTCATGTCTCTTCTACATCAGCTGATCAGATTTTGGACACTTTATGATGTCATAACGATGTTTTGTCTTGTGTAACCATTAGCCAATCAGCAACCAAGGTAACCCCCCCCCCCCCACCTTATCACCTGAATCTCCTCCTAGAGCACATTGAGTTCTTTGTAACCAAATGTCTCTCAGAGGGGCGTGGGGAGGGGCTCCTTATTTTCATCTAAAGTAACAGACAGAGAATCAGCACTTTGGAAACAGGGCTGAAACAGAGGGGTGTCATAGTCTCAATTGTTATGTGTGTCCAGATTGAAACAATAATTTAAAAGGAAAAGGTTTAATACTTATATATAAAAAAAAAAGTTTGCTTTGGCGTGTCACTATTTCACAAGTGTATATATTTGTATATGATTCCATATTTGCGTTATCAGTGGACCATTACAACTTAGTAGAGCAACATTGCCCAGGAGGATTTGCCTTTCAGCTGAAGTTAGAAGGCGATTGTGTTCATTGTTAAAATATCTAACCAGTGTTGACTGTTGATAAGAGAAGGACCTGAACAACATGAACAACTCCATTGAGATGTTTGCTCGCTACTCTGAGTTTAGACAGAGGGGTCAGTTAGAGTTTAAAGGGGGTTTGTGACATGTGACACTACTTTGACAACAAAACAAGGAGAACACACAATGGTTAATAAGCAAAAGTGCTACAAAATAAAAAAATATAACTAATGACGCATTTCCACTACAGCGCGGTGTAAGCGTTACGTGCCCTGCCCGTTTCTGGTTGCGTTTCCACTCGGCGTAGTTCCGGCTAGCGGGTACTTTTTCACAGTTTTCTGGCTCTCCAAAATCGAGGTTCTTTCCGGGCCAACAACCAGGCTGAGTATGCTAAACTAGTGAGAGAATCGCTTGTAACTACAACACAATAAACATATTTGACCGTGATTTAATTGTAATACACGTTTCCAAATGATGCCGAAGTAACAACATACTGATACCGGTTAGTAAAAACCATGAATTAATGCTTTGACAAGTCTGCAGACAGACGGCAGGCGAAAAACCTTTTAAAATGCGTGTTGTCTAAATGGAGCTTGGCTAAGCTAACGCAGTAAATGCTCCGACCGTCCACACTCACAACAACGGCCTACAGACATAAATAAAGCAGCGACTGTATTCGCCATGACACAGACAGTCTGTGGTTTGTACTTGTTTAACTTTTGTCTAGTTTCTGAACAGATCTGAGGAGCTGTGAGCTCTGAGTGCTAACAGCTAACGGCTGATGTTGGTTTTGTGTTTCGCATTGAAGATGACGTCACGGCTCCGCCTACACTGCGTTACTATAGTTACTGCCCCAGCAGCATAAAGTGAGCCGGGCCTACCAAGGCCTAACCATACCGTACTAAGCCGAGCGAGGCCCTGCAGTGGAAATGCGCCATTAGACACTTGATGTAGAACTTACTTTAGGATTCACTGGAGCACCAAACAGTGTAAATAATTCCCAGTAAGTGAACAGAGAGTTTATACTTTAGTATTCTGTAAGAAAAGTACATTTTTTTCAACAGCATAGAGTTGTTCTATCAGAGCATGTATCAGAAGTAGGTAAACAAATCTTCACTTTATATAAAAATAGGTACAGTAACAATGTAAATACTGCCTTACACCAAACAACATCCCTCACAGACAGAACACAAACAAACAAACAACTAAATAAATAGAAAACCAGTCAGCTAAAACAAAAATGTCAATAATAAACAATAAATGTCAGTACGGCTGCACCTCCTCCCCGAGACAACCCGTCCAGTTTGAAGAAAAGGGCCCGCATATTTTACCAAATTAATTTGAGAAGCCACTCAGAGAAAACCTAATCCTTTCCATCTTCAGGAAACTAGGTTGGTTTTTACTCAAAAGAAACATCTGTTCTCCTGCAGATTCCTGTGTTTCGAGGGTCTTCAGGTCCTCTGGTCGGAGCCATTAACCCCGTCAGTGACCACTTTGGGACGGATGGACTCGGAGACGTGATCAAAGACAAAGACCCTCGCTGGGAGGAGAAGATCCAGAGCGAGCATGCAGTCAACGCCATGATCCGACTGGTGAATGAGAACCAGAAGCAGGTGAGGAAAACACGTTCTTTTGCAGGCTTTGGGAGTAACGGGATTACGTAGAAAGACAGGTTGGGGATTACTAGCAGGATTACAATGTTAGTAAAGAACTACAAAGAGCATATAGTAAAAGGATCAGATGTAATGTCTTCCTTCCAAGCTGTACTGTTTGTAGGCTAATGCTTCAACCCTTAAATGGGCAATCACATTTAAATATTTCTGAAAATGAATTGATTGCTATTTTCTAGAATACACCAATATTACAGTTATAACCAGGGCTGCACATAACTGGTGCGCAGGTGCGCATGCGCACCTCCGCCAAAAAAAGAGCACCGGGTCATTTGAAACAAAGCGCATTTGCGTACCAACATTGAGAGAGAGAGAGAGAGAGAGAGAGAAGGGAGAAAGAGAAAATAGAAAATAGAGGAGAGAGAGAGAGAAAGATATTTGCGAGTTGCATACATGTATGAACCTTGATATGAACTCAGGGTCGGCCCGTAGCACTGGCTAGATGTTCGCCTAGGGCGCCAGATCTGTGGAGGCGCTGCGCTGGCAGTTCTGGTAGGGAAAACAACATTTTGACCGTTGGGGCTCATCCTAATTTTCGGCCTTGATGTAACAATATTCATAATTAAGTAAATGTAACACCCTTTTCACCCCGATTACACGTTTCATTTGCCCTGTACGATGGGCGCTGTAAGTGATGGAAATGGGGGATGTTGGCTTATCTGGCGCCCGCAGCTCACAGCCAAAGTGCGAGTGAGCGTGGGAGAGAGGGAGGGTGCACCGGTACCAGCGCTGTTGTTATTATAATCTGGTGCTAGCTGCTCTAACGGATATAAGAAGAAGATGTTTTCTACAATAATGTGGAGGGAGAGTCCTCTCCAGTCAGACAGATAACTACAGCTCAGTGAGGTAAGGACTCTTAGTCTAAGTTCAAACGGTTTGGTCACAATTGATGTAAACACATATTTCCAAGGCACTCCTTTATAATTATTGGGATAAACAGGTTTCAAATCATTCCAATGTATACTGTAGGACAGTAAACCAAAAATATCCTTTAAAACTGGAGAGATAAAAAAAAATGCATAAATAAATGTTAAGGTAAAATAAGATATGAATGAACAACACAAATAAAATAAGTTACATTCATTTGTTATTGGCTATGGTAGGTTATTGTTTATGTTCACATACTTATTTGATTACATCCACTTGTCTAAGATGACAACAGAGACTTTCGACCCAAACCCAGCTGTTGACTTGTGGATGCAAGCAGCTAATCACAGACTCAACCAGAGAGGAAGAAGTAGGCCTACATCATCAGCTACCATGTCTGACAGAGAGGAAGACAGTGAGGAGAACAGTCAGGAGGGTAGTGATGACAGCTTGTAGGATTACTGGTCGTGCTAATGTTGTCTTGTGTTCACCTCTGCATGTGTGTTCTGTGTTCACCTCTGCATGTGTGTCTTGTGTTCACCTCTGCATGTGTGTCTTGTGTTCACCTCTGCATGTGTGTTCTGTGTTCACCTCTGCATGTGTGTTCAGTGCCGTGTGTCTGGCAAATAAAGTCAAGACCCCCTCAAAAGTTACAGTTTATTTCATTTTAAGGATGAGCACCAAGCAACATCTCCAGGTGCTCCTTTGAGAACCAGGGCAAAACAATTATGTGCACCCCTGGTTATAACACCCATATTACACTACTGTTATCAGACCCATATTACACTGTTAATAGACCCTAATTAAATCCATTTAACACCATTGTTACACCCATATTACACTGTTATACACCCCAATTAAGTCTGTGTTACACCATTAATACACCCGTATTACACCCGTATTATACCCACATTACACTATTGTTACACCCATATTACACGTTGATCAGACTCATATTACACTGTTATACACCCCAATTAAGTCCATGTTAATGTAAGACATTATTACACTTGTATTATACCCATATTACACTATTATCAGACCCATGTTCCACCTGGACACAGCCTGTCAAATGTCTGTTTCCCCCAGGATACAGAAAGCATTGAAGGGTTAAGTGTTGGTTTTCACTTTCTTTGGTTCATTTGTCCTGTTTTTTTATTCAGCATGTGAACCTTGTTAGTGTAGAGGCTACTGCCTGGATATGCTTCATGAAAGGCAGGTTTACTCATAAATAAAATCTATTTTCTGATCCTAAATGTCTTGGTTTCTTCTTCGTATAGAAGATAATACACTTTAGTAACAAATATCTTATTGATCTTTCTTTTTTCTTGTGATGATTCACATTTGATATTGAGGTATCGGAAAGTAATCGGGTTACTTTTTAATATTTTGATATTCATTATTTTCAGCTAACTATTTCTAAGTGTGTTACCTCTAAATCCTTCCCCCTCAGATCTCCCTGGTGGCTCTCGGCCCGCTCACTAACCTCGCTCTAGCCGTCAGATTGGACCCAAGTTTCCCCCAAAAGCTCAAAGACCTGTTCATCATGGGAGGCAACATGGAGGGTAAAACACACACAGAACATTACAGGCTCTTATTATGAAATACGTGGGCTTGTATAACTCAGATTTTCGTCTCTGCAGGAAAAGGAAACTTCACACTATGTGCAGAGTTTAACTTTGCTATGGATCCAGAGTCGGCCTATATTGTTCTGGAGGAGTTCCTCTGTACCACGTACATCGCCTCGTGGGAATACGCCTGCAGGAACTCTCTGACCTGGGTGAGATGTTGGGAAGACCCTCAGCAGAGTTAGTTAGGATTAACGTAAAATTAAATATCTAAAATGATTCAATACTGAGACTTAAAGGGGACCTATCATGCAAAATGCACTTGTTGATGTCTTCTCTACATCAACATGTGTCCCCGGTGTGTCAGGGAACTCACGCAGCGTCAGAAAATAAACCCTCTCTCTTTTCCTCCGTACCCAAATCTCTAAAAACGGGGAACAACGGAGCTGATCCAGATTTGCGTCCGATATGACATAATATCTGAAATGTGGACCCACGGCCCAATCAGAAACGTTGCTATCAGAAACAATGCCCGACTGTTTTGGACGTAATATGGTCGGTGTTTACATTAGCATCGCTAACACTCAGAGCTAACCTGTACTGGAGAGCATGTGTGTGAAGAAGCAGGAAGTAAAAAGGAACTCACCTTGTGGTATAACCGGCAAGAGAGAAAGCCTTTGAGCTCCAGACTGTTTCAGAGAGAATCCTTGATAATCCATGATATGGCGTTTCATCACGGCAGCATTTAGTTTAGACGGTAGCTGCCGGGTTTAAAGCTTTATACCCAAATCAGCACTTTTGAAACAGGAAGTGGAAAGAGGGATATGAGGCGTGGCTAGAATGGGTGATCTGTTTTGAGCAAAACACTTCATAGACATGTTTTTTATATGTGTATATATCTGAGACCTGTGCTATTGCCTAAAAATAGCATGATAGGTGACCTTTAAAAATAACAAAAGACAACATTCGTCCATGAATCATTTATCAGTTTCTCTTAAGAATTTCCTCCACATCCTGAAAAAAGATAATAAATCAGAATACATCACAGCAGTGTCGGTACTAGAATGGGGCGGCCATGCTGGGGCCAGTTATTTAAAAAACTTTAACTGATTGAATATATTTAATTTGTTCAGGAGTTCTTTGAGGAGCTGATCAACCAGGACGCTCCGGCTGCGGCCTTCATGAAGACGATCACCTCCAAGTGTCGGGCGTACTCCAAAGAGGCGATGAAGAACAAGAGGGACGTGTACTTTGGCCCGGGGTACGTCTCCTACGATGCGTACGCCATGGCGGCCTGCATCGACCCCGACGTGGTGCTGCAGAGCATCGAGTGCCCCGTCAGGGTGGAGCTGCAGGGGGCGCTGTGCCGAGGCATGATGGCGCTGGATCGCACCAATCAGCTGAAGAAGAGCCACAGCGTCACCGTGCTCACTAAGTGTGACGTCAGGAAGTTCAGTCGGCTCCTCCTGCAGTCTCTGAGGCAGCCGAAGAAGTGACGATGAAGAGGGAAAACAACCTGAAGGAAATTGTTATGAAGGATATCAGATACAAATGTTAAGTTTGGCTGGAAATGCACTTCCTCAAGTCTTCAATATGTTCCCCAGACTTATATAAAACAGTATTTTGTTAATCATTTATGTCGAAAATAGACAATTTCTAATCTAGAATCGAATCGTTTGTGATGCAATTGGATAGAAAATTGAAGTTTTCTTGAAAATCTACATATAAACGTCCCTGGGGTCAAATATTTATACAAAAGATAATTTAAAATGTATCTTAATTGAGATAGAAAGGGTTTTTAATCAATAAAAAGTGACAGGGTGTCCGCGGGGTCTTAAAAAGTATTAAAAGTTGATAAATCAATTTAGCGAAAATTAAGGCTATTAAAAAGTATTAAACGGCATTTTCCAAGGTGTTACATTTTGCAGCTTGTTTTCAATAAGTATATAAATGGCCCAGAGAGGTTGTGTTCTACAGTCTGCCTGAATGTAATCATTGCGTAGGTGTGTAGTGTGATTCTGTGTAGTTCATTTATTTATTTATCCCGTCTACATGCATAGCAGAAGATGGCATCTTTTGTACATGAATATTCCAGACAATCTCTGTTTTGAAACCATGAGCTGCAAAAACTGCGGTCAAGCCAGCCGTCTTTCACTTCTGCGTGGTCAAACCAGCCGCCCCTGTATTTCGAGTGCGCGATTAGTTACAGGTTTACGGTAATGCAATAAAAACAACCCTGGGAAGCTGGACGTTTCGTATGTGCAGGAACACTTCCGTTGAGGATTTCAAAGTAAAGGATGGCATGTGGTTCATTTATATTATTTGCGATTGAGGAACAGGGTAATTTATGAGAATAATGTTAGGACTTATTGCTTCATACACTTGTTGCACAAATACTATGAACTACTTTTACTGTGTACTTTTTGAGAATGGCAAAAGTCCCTCCAGAGAACAAGAAGGAGCATTTTCGTCAACTTTAATGTGGTCTAAAAAACGTTTCTTCCATAAGTAGTTTATGAAACTGCCATGTTTGTACTTAGTACTTCTAGGACTACTTGCACAAATAATATGAACTACTTTTACTGTCATTTTTTTCAGTAATCCAATGGCAAAGTCACTCCTAGAGAATGTATTATTTCCACCACCATGTTTGACTGCTCAACCCTGTCTCCTAAAAAGTACGTTCCCACAGAACTAAACTGCATTCTCAATTACGTTTATCTAGAAACGTATTTTCTCCCACGTTACGTTCGTTATGAACATATCTCAAATACGTTTATTTTCTAAATATCTTCTAGAAACACATTTTCTCCCACGTTACGTTTCTATTGAATATCTTCAGCTTTCTGTCCCCAGAGTCAGAACTAAACATGGAGAAGCAGCGTTCAGTTATTATGCTCCAAATATCTGGAACAAACTCCCAGAAACCTGCAGGTCCGCTGCAACTCTGACTACTTTGAAATCCAGCAAGAAGACTTTTCTTTTTGTCGCTGCTTTTAATTGAACTATTCATATCTTAGACTGCACTGTAACTTTTATCCATGTATTTTTTCTTTTAATGTTTATTGTATTAGCTTTTCTTTTAATGACTGATTTTAAATTCCATTTTCTTAATGTCTTTCATTTTTTGTAAAGCACTATATAAATAAACTTGCCTTGCCTATGAACGTATCTCAAATACGTTTATTTTCTACATATCTTTGCCATTTATTGTCTTGCTTATAATAATGATAGTAGTCATTTATAAATATCATTTTAGAGCACACATTTGAAATCAGTAGGCGAGGCTGTGTTATAGTACTTTGGGTTTTCTATTTTGTAATTTAATATACAAATTCAAACACCATGATTTATTTTTAATAAAATAAGGCATCTACGAAAACTTTTTAAAAAGTATTTGTATTGCTGTTATAGATCAACTGTAATGATTATCAAGCCGTGATCGCCTTTGTAAATATTGAAAGAACACACTGGAAGTTGCTGGTTAGTGATTGTTTTCATTCAGAAATCCCTTTCATTTAAATATGTATATATGTTTGATGCTGTTTTGAAATAACATCCCTTTTTTTAGTACTTATTTCCTGCTATAAGATCAGTATTTTTGGTGGATCCAGAGAAAGCAGACTCGGAAAATGCTGCGAAAAGAGTACGGTAAGTCAGCAAATTAGATATAAAGTGATCTTAGAATTATATTTAGTGCTTTGTTTTTAAGTAAACATAAGTATGTTAACAGAAGTTCCCAAACCCACACCACTGAAGCGGTGGTCTCAGCTGTTTTTTAAATGATATTTCCTTATCCCGCCCTTAGTATCTGTGTACACAATTCTAAATGAAGTAGCTCAGTAAGCGAGGTAACCTACAATATTTTCCAGTGTCCATACTGTTGGGATGGAGTGTTTTTATTTTACACAATATTTAAAGATTTGTATTCTACATGTGTCTGTTGGGAGTTACATTAGAGACTATTCCACAATGTGTTTTACAAAGGGAATACTTCAAGATGAGGAGGAGCTGCTATGGCAAGGAGGACTGGGGGACTGTCAAATGGAGAGGAGCAACCATGCACCATCCAGTTCAGTGATGGCAGCAGCTGTGGGGTCATTGTTACCATGGTAACGTCGTTTTTTACTTTAACTACTATATGTAATATTTATGCTTCTGCTACATATATATTATTATATTTATTTCAGTGTCTTGATTATTATACAAGTTTAAAGTATAAAATAGTCAATGATGTTAAAAAATAAGTCATTAGTTTCTGAATTATCAATTTTCAGTTTATTTTTTAGGGGAATTGTGTAAAAGTGATAAGAGGGCTGGTTGTTGACACAACCCATGTAGTTTGTCATGTACATTCTTCAAGTTGTGTTAATTACCTCATTACAACTATTAGTTATTAATAGTTTGATCATTTTTATTGAAATATCAATTCAATGTTGTAATTTTACTGGCAAAAACAATGTAGCGCAGATGAGAAGTGTGATTCTGTGTGTTGGTGTGTAGATGGCAAGAGCAGTGATGGAGGCCTTTCCTGCATTACCAATTATGTCCTTTGGGACATCCAAAAAGGAGATGGCTTGTGAGAGGAGAAAGTTTGCACTTTCAATACTCAATGGTTCAGGTTTGTAAGTCATTTGTCCTGCTTTATGTTATGGTTCTTAGTTAGTTGTTATGGAAATGATGAACTTCTATTAATCCAATGCAATCAAACAAATCTACAATAACTACAGCCTGTAAAATTGCCTTTGAGTCCACACACTACAGCATGTATAGCCGACAGCATCATTGATTTTAAGCACAGGGCCCAAACCAAATATGCCATACATATCTCAGTTGAACCCATAACTTATATTTCTCTCACACACACTCCATTGAGACATTAACAGTTGAAGAATAACTTGTTTTCCTGCTGCAATAAGGAATGTAAATACTGACACTTAAGCTGTCACGGTTTGTGTCAGGAGAGCAGGGAAGAGGAAACGAATACAGATTGTACCAGACATCCAGGAACAGTTTATAGGTGCTTTATTGAAAGCTTACAGGCAGAGTGGAAGGAGGCATGGGTGAAATATGGAACACAAAACAGGGCTTAGAGTGAAACAGTGACAAATATAAATTCCTGCATTTTTAAATGTGTTGCATACAGGTCATTGCCTCGTAATGTTTAGAATATTACGGATTGTTTATGTATGTCTGCTTATATGTTGTTCTGTTCACACTGTGTACATAGTCTTCTTTTTAAAACATCCATCCTTAAAAACATATTAAACCTGTGTTAATGATCCCATTCATGATCCATTTAGAGTTCATAAGCTATAATTTACAGCTGAACAGCTGCATAGAATTTGACTGCACTTCTGCTGCCAATAAACTGTTAACTGTATACATATACAGTATGTCTAAATAACATATGTTCTTTTCCTGCAGTGTTTCACATGGAGAACAACTGTGCAATGTGCTCTGCCTCAAAGCCCCCAGGATCTGGGCCTCCCACTACAGATTGGGTGAGTATTTGTCGTAGTGTAGTTATAATAGGGCTTCATCATATTCTAATCAAATTCAATTTATGATATTAGATGTATTTATAAAACTGTTGAGTCACTGGGTCTATCCAGATCAGGCGGTCCAGCGAAAACGCTGCAGGGCCATGCTTCGATTTCTACAATATTTTTTTTACGGCAACCTCGTGCGTCGCCCTAGCTGCAGCCCACACACATTAACTCTATTCAAAAGGACTGTGGAACCGATATAAATTGATTTACTAACAAAACAGTCAAGACAACTTCTCTCAGATAAATGGTAATGTATATACATTGTTTACACATATAATGAACAGAGAGAATATAAAATGTGATGAGTAGTGGAATAGGGATACTGACAATTCTAATCATGTCTAATAGCAACATATTAAATTAAAGTGTAACTTCACCCCAGGTTTGAGTCTAAGTCCACCCACATGATGACAATAGCCTCAATGCAGCGTTGACAAATATGACAAAGCTACATTAGCTTGGAAGATAGCAATATGGGGCACTGAATTAGCGCACCCCGCGGTTCCTCCACCTCACTCTACGCCGCTGGGAGACTGACGGTACATGTCCACCAGATCAGGCCTGGAAACCAAGTTATACCTTGAGGCAACACTCCTAATGTAAAACGGACCACTTGGAAAGAGGTTTGTGTGTGTTATCTGCTGTTGTCCTCTTTCACACACCAACATCCTGGAAGTCACTATCAAAATATGGGAAGCAGGGAGAAGCAGCTCGTATGCAATACATAACTGACCAATTAAGAATACCAAAAGGTAACTACATTATAGTGATGCAACATGGGGTTTTCCCAGAACTATAAATCTTCTACCTATAACTACCTACAAAACATTTTTATTTGAAAAACTGAAAATGTAGACATAATATAGTTATTTTCAGATATTAAACTGGTGTTTGAGGTGAGTATGCTACAGACTATAGATACATGTAATAAAGTTGACATGAATCTAATTTTGCCAAAATTATTCTCTATTGCACTTCATTACTTCATCATTTCCGATGACAAGATGTATCAGATTTGATGGT